AGAAATTTATTAAAGGAGATATCTAGGAGGGTGGAAGGTCCATATTGAGGGAAAGTGACATTTGAGTGAAGCTTGAAACGATGAACTAGGAGGGCAGAAGCACTTGAACATAGGAATAGGAGCATAAAAGTATAATGGTCATTGAAGAGGTAGGGAATTGTTCACTTGGGATGAAGTGGGCATTGAGGGGAGTAATATGGAGAGAAGTGAAAAGTAGGTTGGTGTCTCCAGGTTGTGAAAGGTCTTAAGGATTTGAACTTGGGAGGCTCTAGGAAGCTGTTGACTATTTTAGAGGTTAGCAATGATATGAAATTTGTACATTGGTCATGATTTTGGCTGTGAGGTATCTAGCAGGAATCGAGATGAGTAGGATGAAGCAGATTCCCAATAACTTGCTACACTCACTTTGTAAGATTCAAAGTGCTGTGATTGATTCTTTGGTCATATCCAGATATACTGATAGAAAATACTTTTGAAACAAAAGTTTTGAATTGTTCTTAGGGCATGGATTAATTGGAGCTAGGTTTAAGGAAAAATAAGAGGTGAGTATCCAGTACAGGGAAAAGAAAATGAACTGATCAGGCCTTGAGAGTACTGTCTTCTAGCATAGGTTGTAGTATTAGACAACGGTGTAACCATGGGCATATCATTTGACCCGTCTGGCCCTTCGTTTCTGCCCCTACAAGAATAAAGGATGTGATGACTGCCAAACATCTAGAAAGAGTGGTTCATGTACACCGCCTCCATGTTCTCAGCCTCTTAAACCTCTTGCAGCCTTTCCTACAAGTCTTTTAAAACTATTTTCCTCAAGTCACCAATGACCTTAATCTCATTAGTGGACTTTTCTTTATTCATTTTTAATTAACTTTACCCAGTTTTGACTTTCTTTAAAAGCAAAGAGGATCAATCCTATGTTGCTGAAATTGGAGAGGGAAGTTATATTATTTTAGGAATTCTTTAATAGGCCATTTCTAAACAAAATAACTGTAATTGGTATAACAGAACTCTGCATATGGTAGGCACTTAATTTTATTGAGTGGGTTGATGAATGGAAGGCAGAAGTGCAACAATGAGAATAAACTTCCTTGCTAGGTAATTGTGTTGGGATCAGTAGGCAAGGGTATAAGCATGTTGGGAAGTGGCATCTGGGTCAGAGATCATGTTTTTTACACCTCCTGCACTGAATCATTAAGTGTTTATAATAATTATGGTGATAACTTTTGTCCCCCCCCCAAAAAAAAACCTTCTAGGATTACTGGAGAATAAACCTGTAATGCACCAAACATGCATCTGCTTGTCACAGAGGAAAAATATATTTGTAAAATAATTGGGCAATTATTTACTGCTTAAGGAGCCATTAAATAAAATTAGCTCACAATGCCCAACTGGTTTATGAAATGGGACCCACTGCTTTAGTATTTTAATACTTGCTGAGAGGGCTTGTGTGGACCAAGGCTTGGAGCAGCTGTATTTACAGTTTGGTCTTCTTACTTCCTGAGTGAGCTTGGAGAAGACCTCATGAGAACCAGTAAGACCAGTGAGAGGAGTGGGAAGGAAGAGAGAGAAGAGAGATTGAGACAGAAATAAGTCATCTGAAGTGACCCAGAATTTTTAGAAATCATGTAGTTACCAAAGGAAAACATTTCAAGTCTAAGTTTAAAAAGATGATTAACAGTTAAGTTGTAGGGAGAAAATGAAGGGAGGTAAGAAGGGATAAGAAGGACCTGTATTTTGATTCCTCCCTTCCTTTCTTCTTTTTTTTCCCTTCCCTCCTCCCTTCCAAAGTCGTCTAGAGAGGTTCAGTGACTTAACTGAAAGATGACAGCACTTTGAGAACTGCCAAGGGTTATGCAGATGTAATCACACACCTATTTTAAGGCTGTTTAAGCATGAAAGAACAGTTTCATTCTATAGACTGCTATTCTATAACCATCTGATCCCATCCTTACCTTTCCAGGCTCATTTCATAGCATTCCCCTTTCACTCACTGTACTTGACATACTAGATCAAAGTTCCCCAACTCAGCATTACTAACAGCCTCTGTACATCCTCACAAGTTGTCTACCATGCCAAGAATGTAATTCTTCCTCTTAACATTTTTTTTACGTACCGTTTTCAAGGCTTTCCTTGAAATCTTTCCCTTCTCTTTCATTCCTTCCCCACATCCCCCCATCTCCCTATTCAGGTTACCTTGTGTTTATGAACTTGTACCACTCAGATGACCTCTAAAGTACAGACTCCTTGAGGATAGGGATTATTTTTTACTTTTGTTTTCTTTCTGACATTGCACTTGGTTCGGTGTAAGTACTTGTGTAGAAAATGTTTTCTGACCTTTTTTATTAGCAGGTAATTTTGTATTGTGGGGAGAAGGGAGAAGTAGGTGTCTAAAGATTTAGTTTTAGCATTATCCCTTTCTAGAATTTCATTTTTCTGGTATTCTGTTTCCTCATTTATCAAATGAAGGTATTAGACTAGATAATATTTAAGTTCATTATTTTATTTTTTAAATTCTTCTATCACAAAGTATAGGCAGAATTCCATGAATTCTGAACAGTACTTCATTCATCTGGAATCGTTTCCTTTTGTCTTATAAGTACCAGGTTGATAAAGGAGAGTTTTTTGGTCGTGTGTCTTGTTAACAGGGCTTAAATTGAAATAATATCATTGGTCTGATTCAGCTTTTTTCAGCTAATTCAGTTCAACAAATACTGATTAAGCATCTCCTGTGTGCCAGGCACTGTTCTAGGTGCTGGAATACAAAGACAAAAAAATTCAATTCTATATCTTTTTTTTTTTAACCTAAGAATCCCCTTCCCCCCAAAAAAATTCAGGAGGGAACAGGTTGTATGTTTTTGGTTCCTTGTCTGCAGGTTTAATTTAAAATAAGCAGTGCCATTAATAAAATGCTAACTGCCATTTTTGCCACCCCTCAACATAGCTGCTTCTGGAAGCTCAGTATCTACATTTCATTTGAAAATAAGCATGGAGTCACCAGAGGAGGACTTGCCCTTAATCACTTTTAGAGAAGTAATCCCTATATCTGAACATTGTCAGAAATGTTTATATTTTACCTATGTCAGTGGTCATATTTTACCTAAGTCTTTGGCACACCACCAAATGGTTTCTCAACAGTAGGTAACTTTGTTGTGAATGTCTTGTGGTTAAATTAATTCATTTATGTCAGGCCTAAGTACTTGCTAAAAACAGGATTTCTATATTTGCAAAACAGAACATGGGATAAATGTTTCTGAGTTCTGGTTCTTTAATGTATGGTATCTATTTTATTTTTGGTATACATATTTTAGCAAGATAAACACAGTAATCCCACTACTAGATAAATGGGAATCCTTTATATAGAAAAATATTTATAGCACTCTTGTTTTGTTTTGTTTTTTTGGTGAGCAAAGAACTGGAAATAATGTAGATGCTCATTAATTGGGGCAATGGCTAAGCAAGTTGTGGTATGTGAATGTGCTGGGATATTATTGCACCAAAAGAAAATATGAATATGAAGAATTCAAAACAACAGAATTAAACTTAAATGAATTGGTGTTAACACAGCCAGGAAAAAAGTATATAGTAACTTCAATAATATAAAAGGAAAGAATAGATAAAACAAACTGAAAGTTGTGAAATTATCATGGTCAAACTTGTCCCTAGAAAAGATGAAGAAATGAATCTCCCTCGTTTTTCGTGGATGGAGGGACTATGGATATGGAACATTACCTTTAGTGTCAGACTCATTTGATAAGTTTGTTAGTTTTACTAAATGTTTTTCCTCTCTTTTATTCTTTGTTACAAGAAATGGCTCACTGAGTATTAGAGGGGGAAAGGTACCTTCAGAAGAGAAGGTGGAGTAAAAAACCAAAAGATCAGTACATTTTTTAAAAGACACAAATATAGTTGCTTGCGCTTACCCTCAAAGAGCACAGATTATGAATTTACAATAAAAATTATTTGACTCAGAGACGCACACGCCTATCCAGTGTTTTTCTTTACTCATGCTTTTGGGTGGGTTTATTTTTTATGATGATTTGAAGCATAAAAACAATGTTTGTCTGCCATAGACAATAAGTGGTGTCACAATCAATTGGAAGGCTCTTCAGAGACCATTTAGTCCAACCCCAAATCAAACTGGAATCCCCTCCACAGCATACTTAATAAGTGGTCATCCAGCCTTTGCTTTAAAATGTTGTGGGGAGTGGCGTTGAGGGAAAGTGAGACAGAGAATCCTGAGACTTTATTGAACTGGAAAACTAGAGAAGAGAAAATAGCACCCTTGCTCATCTCATCAAATCACTATGGCCAGAGAGACCTGGATGAGCCTTCTAAATGGAAATTGACAACAACCCTTCTTAGTTTTAATCAGGGATTAGAAAAATAAAAAGTTCTGTATAAAATCAAACTGACATCCTCAAATTAGAAGGCCTTCTTTCATCTATTTCCATGGTAATATTGATAATCTTTTGTTCCTACCAGTGATATGTCCCCTTTTCATCCCTTGTGAAAAATCATTACTGGCCATTCTTCCAGTTTGTTGTAATTTTGAAGGAGAATGGGGAAATTGAGGCAACAAAAAATGGAATGCTAGGATGAAGTTCACAGAATCACATTGTGAGCTAGAAAGGACCAACCCCCTTATTTTATAGATAAGGAAACTGAGGCCCCTTTGGGGCACAAGCTTGTAGCAGAGCTAAAATTTGAAGTCAGAATCTGCCACCAAATCTAATGCTATTTGTATCATACCAAACTGATAAACTCCCAATCTATTACACCAACTCCCTGGTGAATGCACTGATATTGTAGGCACACTAGTTATACATAGCCTCTCAGATTTTGTTCTGTACTCCATATGATGTATTAAAATGTTAAAAGGATATGAATAGGACTAACGAATTTCCTGCGGACTGTGATTCAAGCATTTCCAGGAGTAAATAAGAAATTTTTACCTAGTTTATTTGAACTTCTGTCTACTTTTCATTTCCTTTTTTCTTTTTAAGATCTTAGCAAAGCAATGTCTCAAGGTGGTACTTCCCAGTTCCAAGAAGTCATCCGACAAGAGCTGGAATTATCAGTGAAGAAGGAACTAGAGAAAATACTTTCAACCGCACCACAAAATGAATCTGAGGTAGGAATTCAAGTATTCCTGATTGTATCAATTTAAAAAGTAGCCTCTGGGCAGCTAGGTGATGCAATTCATAGAGCTCCTGTCTTGGAGTCAGGAGGACCTGAGTTCAAATCCAGCCTCACACACTTGACACTTAATTAGCTCTATAACCCTGGGCAGGTCACTTAACCCCAGTTGTCTCACCAAAAAACAAAACAAAAAAAAAGTAGCCTCTAAAAAAGGCAATGTGGTATGGTGGTTGGAAGGCTAGACTTGGATTCAGAAATACTTGGTTTCAGTTTCTGACACGAGTTCATTTTAACAGTTAACCTTGCCTACTCTGTGCAATAGGATACAAAGATACAAATTAAAGTTTCTGAATCTGCCCTCCAAGTGCTTATATTCTATTAGAATATAGATCTGTGGTCTTGAGAAAGGTACTTAACCTCAGGGAACAATTCTCTAAGGCTTATCTAAAATAAATAAGTAGGTGCTGTTGGCCCTTCTGTTATCTAGCTTGAAAAGATCCTCTATGAGAGGATATAAGGAAAAACAAAATTGAATTTGTTTGTTTACAAATTAATAGTGCTGGATGGAATATGTTTCTATATGAAACTGAGTAAATTGTTAAAAATCTGAAGAAATGTCAAAGTATTTAACATGTCCTTTCCTCCAACAGTTAAGCATTTTTAACAACTGTCATTTTTCAAAATTGATGAGCAAATTTTTATTTTATGTGTTTGAATCAGTAAATAGGAAAATAAAAGTTTAATTTTTTTTTGACAAGCTTTTGGTGGGAGATTAGACAGACAGCCCATACTAGCAACTTAGCTCCTTTGTCTTCCATTATGCCTTCTAGAGATCTCTTTATATTCTTTCCCTTTTTTGGTGCTCACAAGATCCCTGAATCTCTCCAGCAGGTGTTGTATTATTACACCTGGCCACCTTTTAGTGCTGACTGAACCTTCTCTCATGCCCTCTGACATAATGGGACTTTTTTCAAGTCCCAACTGATATAACACCTTCTACAGGAAGCTTTCCCTGATCATCCTTAATGCTAATGCTTTCCTTCTGTCCTTTATTTCCAATTTTCATAGAAACTGGATGTAATTTATTTGCCCATAATTCTTTCCATGTTGTTTCCTCTATTAGATTGTGATCTCTTTGAGGGCACAGACTGTTTTTTACTTTTCATTGTATCCACAGAACTTAACATAGTGTCTAGCACCTAGCTGGTGCTTTATAAATGTTTATTGACTGACTGGACTTAAAACAACTTGCGTACCTTTTTGCAGTTCATTTATACTTTATGATCCCCTTTCTGCTGCCATTATTTTTCAACCTCTCTTTTGAGGTTTACTTTCCCTCTCTCTATCACCTGGTCCAGATTTTTCTGGCTATAATCTACTGGCTTTCAAGTCACTCGCCCTCCTTTCTCAAGTATTATGACATTTAAATATGACTGCAATCCTGCATCACTGACTGCCTGCTAGATATCTCCTTAACGTCCTATATGCACTGAATTTAGCTTGTCTGTAATGGAAATGATTATCTTCTTTCTCCCATTAAACCCACCCTTCCTTCAAACTTCCCTGTTTCTCTGTAGGTTACCACCATCTTCCCAGGTTCACAACCCTACAGTCATCCTTAACTTTCCCTTGCCTCATATGTGGTCAGTTGCAAAGTCTTGTTGAGTCCACAAATCTGATCCTTCTGTCCCTTTCTCTCTACTCACAGGGCCACCTTCCTTGTCAAGTGGTCAGTATCTCTCACCAGGACTACTGTAATAGCTTCCTCACTGTCTCCCTACTTCAAGTCTCTTTTCTCTCCAATCCAAGGGTTCTGGTTAGGAGGGGGGATAACTCTGACATCCCTATATTTTGTCCATTGGCCCATTTTAGGTTTTTCACCAGAAGGTTGGCTGTCCCGTGGTAACTCTTTTTCATCCAGAGCAACTCAAGAAGACAATCTTCTGAGCCAGAGGGAGTGCAAACTCTCACTGATGCTGGATCTAGAGCTGGAATACCATTGAGTCCAGCCTCTCATTTTATAGATGAAGAAGCTGAGGCCCCAGGAGGTTAAGGGACTTTGTCAGGTAGTCAGTTTCAGAGGTAGGAGTTGAATTCACATCTCTGACTCCAGACCAAGTGCTTTTTCCACTGTGCTAGCAGTTTGATATAAAAGCTGATCTGATAGCAGAGGTTTACATTTAATGTAATGATGTTAGCAGTCTCGTAGAATTGGTAGATATTTCTCTTGGGGTGTCTACTTCATGGAAAACTTGGAATTTTCTTTTTTTCAAATTTTAGTTGTCAGATTTTAGTTTTAGTGCTGTCTTTCACTTTGAAAATCTTTGTTGAATGAAAGTAAACTATCTTTATTGATATAACTCTCTTGTGTATATATTTATATATGCACAAACTGCCTATACTATTTCCATTTTTTCTGCCATCTTCTGAACTAACTAATAAGGTCATGTGTATGTAATTTTAAATAGGATCTCTTTGAAATTTCTGAAATTAATGGTTTTGGTGATTCAGTAAGTTCCTTGTAGTAAATCATTAAGAAAAACTATTAATACTCCCTTTTATATTCCCCTAGTATGTTTTATTCATTAGTTTTAAGTCTCATTTTAAGTTTTAAATTGTATAAAATTGTGTGTATTCTTATAACCTAAAAGTTGAAGGATTCCATTTAAATATGCTTTATGGTTTCTGTCATATGTATCCTATTGTTCTAATATTGAGTGTTGTTTTTTTTCTCAGCATACTAAAAAAGACCTTGAAGGATTTCGGAAGTTATTCCATAGATTCTTACAAGAAAAGGGACCTTCTGTGGATTGGGGGAAGATCCAGAGGCCTCCAGAGGATTCGGTAAGCCTTGAATAAAATGATGGAGAGATTTACACATTTTGAGACCTTCCCTTAAGTTAAAGGGAAAGTTGTCATGGTATTGGGAGGATCAATTGTGGTTAAATAACAGAACTCTCTCCTCTGTCTCTTCCTTTTTTTTCCCACCGCGACTACCCTGGTCTCATAGGCCCCCTTGTCTTCTTGGCAATAGAATACTGCTGCCATCACCTCCACTCTCTCCTCTAGTTATGTGGCATCTTGCAGAAATGAATTTCATTTGTGCCCTGGTCCTGCTTAAAAAACTTTGGATGGTTCTTTCTCATATACTTAAGGTCCAAACACTAGCCTCGCATTGAAGGCCTTGCTAATCTGGCTTCAGTCTATTTTTCCATCCTTTCCTTATGCTGTTTCCTATGACACAATCATTCCTCAAGCTAAATTGGACTATTTGCTATTTCCTGAATAAATATTATATTTCCATGTAGCCTCTCTGTTCTATGTGCACGAGGTACCTGCCATTGTCCTGTACTGTACTGTTGGCCTACAATGATTCCTCTACCTCTGTCCCTTCCTTTCTCATCCTTTTTTCAGCCCACACATGTCATATGCTTCCAGAATACCTTTCCTAATCACCCAAATTAAAAATAATTTCTCTCTCATCAAAATACAGATAGGACATAATCTTGATTCTTAAGAAATTCTACACCATACATTATCTCAGTATATCACTTAATTGCTCTGAGCTTCAGTTGCCTCATTTGTGAAATGGGGGAAATATTTTTACTGTCTGCCCTTCACAGTTTTTTTGAGGACAGTTCTCTGTATAACAACGCTAAGAAGTGCATAATAAAAATAGTAACATCCCCACTTTACAGATGAGGAAACTAGATTCAGAGATTTTTACAAACTGAGATAATGTGTGCTTAGAGCTTTGTAAACCTTAAAGTACTAAATAAATGTTAACTGTTTTAGAAGTTTGCATACACATTTCATCTTCAGCAAATTAAGAGTTTCTTAAGATCCAGGACTGTATCTTATGTATTTTTATCATGGACGTATTATTGACTTAGTTAATATCTACTGAATGTATGACCATTCAGTAAGTGAATGTTACAGACTGTGACTTTAACCGATTTCATTTTGCATCTTCCTAAGTATATATAGGAGAATATAGAGATGAAATAAGATCACAAAGAATTCAGTAACTTAGGAGGAAGGGGGTAAAGAGATTGTAGCTTGGGGATTAAAGGAGTTTGGGGATAGAAGCTTCTCTGTACCCTTCAGTTGTACATTCTAAACCTGTACCTCTTTTAGCAAATTCTAAATGAACTAAAATTGGCATAGAATTAAGAGGTGTCTAGAGTATAGTTTTTGCTAATGATATGTTTCTCAGAATAAAGGAAAAAGAAAAGAATTTTAAATGCAATCTAGAGTTCAAAGTACTATCCCTACATGTGAGAGCTGGACCTAAAATAGAGCTCAAATGTTATTTTTTTATATTCTAGTTAAATTCCTTAGGATTCTTGAATAAGCTCCCTCTGTGTTGTTTTTGCTTTCTTGATTACTCCCCTCCCTAGCATTTGTAGGTGAATTATGCTCATCTGCTGATTTTTTGCAGTTTTATCCCTACTTTAACCATTTCAAATTTTTTAGTGTTCCAGAGTAGTAAAAATCTTTAGGGATTTTTTTTTCTGAAGAAAATAAGCGTTAATAAATAAGCTTTGATATGAATGAACACACTTAAAAGATGCTTTGAAAGAAAGGTACTCATTTAAACTCTCAAATTCTTTTTGGAAACAGGCTTCGTTGTGTAACAAATCAGAAATAAAGTTTTAGGATAGGATGACGTAAAGAAGTTTGTGTGTATGTGTGTAAGAGAGAGAGAGATCCTCATGGGGTTTCTGGCTTAAAAGAATAGAGGCATGGACTATATACAGGACTTTAAAGATTCCACTCATACGATTGAATTATAGCCAGGACTAGGTGTTAAAGTGTGACTTTCTTGCCTCTTACCTCCCTTAGGTGCTTGCCTGAGAATTTTGGCTTTCCTCTAAACAGTAACTTAGAATCTCAAAAGTAGAGTCATGAGACTTACTGCATCATAAGCAATAGTAAATGAAAGCCTTGGGAAAATATTACTGTATTACATTTACTGTATTTTAGTATCAGATGACTGAAATCTGGCTTCAGACACTTAACAGCTGTGTGACTCTTCTGTTTGCTTCAGTTTTCTCATATGTAAAATGGGGATAATAGTGCCTTTGTCACTGGATTGTGGTGAAGGTCAAATGAGATAATATTTGTTTTTAAAAGGTGCTTATGGGGCAGCTCGGTGGCACAGTGGGTAGAGCTCTGGCCTTGGAGTCGAGGATCTGAGTTCAAATGTGGCCTCAGACACATGACATTTACTAGCTGTGTGACCCTGGGCAAGTTGCTTAACCCCAGTTGCCTCACCAAAAAAAAAAAGTAAAGTGAAACAAAAGGTTCTTAGCCCAGTGCTTGGCACAGGGTAGGCACAATATAAATATCAAATGTCTGGGTTTCATAGAATTCTAGGTTTTAGAGATGAAAAGAAACACAAAGATTAGAGATTTAATCCAGTCCTCTCACTTTTAAATACAAAGAAACTGAGGCCCAGAGAGGGTGTGACATGAGTAGTTAGTTTACATTGCTTCATAAATTACTCACAGATTCTCAGCCTGAAGAGACCTTAGAAATCATTATCTCATCCAGCAGTAATCTTCTAAGTGACTGACTACCTGGGCAGCTCAGGCAGGGAGCAGAGGTACTGCTGAAAAACCAAAGTCCTTGCCCACCTACTGTGTGGCCTGCTTCCTCCCAAAGGCCACAGTGACCTCTGAGTGGTGACAACATAGCACTTTCAGGTTTGCAAAGTGCTCTATGCTTGCTATTTCATCTGAGCCTCAGAAAGATCCTGGAAGGTCTAGATACTCTTATTCTTCTTTCATCGATGAGGAAGCAGTCTCAGGATGTGACTTTCTGTCACCCAAACTAGTAAGCATCAGAGATGGGATTCGAATCTAGGACTCACAGGACCAGCCCCCCGTCCTCTTGTGTCTTTGAAATTCTAGAGAATAAAAATGGGTTACATCAGTTTCCTGTAGCCTTGAATACTGTCATTCAGTTACTACAAGGGCATCTTTTAATCTTTTAATGTTGCTTAAGAGGCTGCAAAGGTATTTTTAGCTTTTTGCATAGATTAATTACACTAGAACAGGGGTGGGGAATCTGTGGCCTCGAGGCCAGTTGTGGCCCTCTAGGTCCTCAGGTGCAGCCCTTAGACTGAGCGCAAGTTTTACAGAACAAATCCTTTTATTAAAGGGATCTGTTCTGTTAAGTTTGGGGACCTAGAGGGCCCCATGTGCTCTTGAGGCCGCAGGTTCCCCCTGCACTAGAGAATGACATTACACATATAACTATGATCAAATGGGATGACAAGGCACTTTATATAAATATGATGATGGTGATGATGATGCTTTTGTATCTGCCACAGCACCTAATATAGTCCTGAGCATACAGTAATTACTAAGTAATTTTATTTCCTTCTCACAACCCTTGATCTGTTGAGGATAGTACATAAAGAAGTTTCCATCTTAAGAGCAGGGCTTTTTGATATTAGAATGAATGCTTTTAAATAATAGTGATACTTTAGCTAACCAAACAGTACATATTGTTGGTTTGAGGGGGAAGAAATTCACTTATTATGGAATATGATACTATTTCTCACTTTTAGCCTGGCATCAAAGGTGTGAAAATAAATGCTGTCAATAACAAAAAATCCCCGAAATTTTAACCTATTCATCTGTAGAATATTTGCTTCATTCTTTATTGAAAGAATAGTAAAGTTCAAACACTAATTTTTTATTTAATTTTTTGATTATTTCAAGTTTTTTCTTAAAAATACTTCTCCCCTCCCACTCTTACTGATTCTTTGAGGTTAGGCTTTATGCAAGTATAAAATCTTAGTGCCAGATTTTGCTAATAATTCTAAGTTATCCATTTGATTATTAATCAGAGGTATTATTTTGCAAATAGGTGGTTGATTTTTTTTCCAACAACCTGTGACATTTGGGCAAAAAAATTTTTTTTTATAAGTATAGGATGGTGAAGGTGTGACAAGCCAGCCATTCATCTGAAACATATCTGGGGGTTTTGGTGGACTGCAAACTCTTTATGATTTAGGGCTATGGGGTGGTGGGATTAGTCCTGGTGTACTCTGTAGTGTGATGTTTGTTCATCTTAGGAATTTTATTGTTAAAAGTGGAAAGGATCCAGATAGGATGTAAGTTCCTTGTGGGATCCATTTGTCTGTATCCCCATTGTCTAGTGCAGTGCCGGCCACATAGTTGGTGCTTACTAAAAACTTACTGGTTGAATACAACCAAGATGATGAAGAGCCTTGAGCTTAAGCTATAAGAAAATTGTTAAAAGGAACTATAGAGGTTGTTTAGTCTATAGAGGAAAAGATATGGGGGCAGGAGAATGATAGCAGTATTTCTAATCCAGTCCAATAATCAGTTAAGAGCTTTCTATGTACAAGACACTGTACTAGGCTCTGGGGACCTAAAAACTAAACAAAAACCAGTCTCAGCCCCCAAGGAACATTGTACTCAGTAATACAACATATGCACAAGTGCATAAACAATAATTTGAGGGGGAGGCGAGTACTAACACTTAGGGGAACCAGTAAATGTTTCCCTTACAAAGTGGCACAGGAGCCTTGAAGAAAATAAATGACTCTTAAGAGGCAGTGGTGAAGAGGGCTTGGGGAAAGTCTGGGCAATGGAGGAAATGGAGAATAGTATTGGAACAGTCAATAGGCCGGGTTCGCCCAGAGGTAGATCGTTTGAAATGACATGATATGAAATACATCTGGAAGCAGACTACAGTCATTTGTGAAAAGCTGTCAATACTAAGGTGAGGGGTTGGTATCTTAGAGCTAGGAGAGAGTCAATGAAATTTCTTAAGCAGGGGCATGAAGGGCTGTTATGTGGAAGGCT